CCACGACAGGCCAAGAGGCCCCCAAGATCGCCCCAAGACGGTCCAAGAGGCCCCCAAGACGGCTTCAAGAGAGGGCCCCGACGGGGGACACGTATGAGTGGACATTTCGAGCCGTCGGCCCCGGTAGGCTCTCAGGATGCCTCAAGAAGATCCCTCAAGGCCGCCAAGAGGCCCCAACCCAGGAAGCCATAAGAGGCCCCCAAAGAGGCTCCCAAGAGGCCCCAAAGAGGCTCTCAAGAGGTCCAAAAACTGACCTTTGAGAGCGCTCCGAAGAGACACCACGAAGCACCCGTGAGAACTCTGACCCACAACCCAGGCACGGTGGCGGGATGGGCCGAAAGCAATTAGACAAGGTGCAACCTGGGTCGGCACAGATACGGAAAGAGCGCTCCAGAAACTTGCCCGAGATGGCTCATTGCACCGTTCGCTCTTGGAAGCATTGGTGTTAAGAGCGTTTGCATCACCGCTTGCTGTTGGAAGTCTTGGTGTTAGGAGCGGTTTAAGCCACCGCTCGCTCTTGGGGGCCTTGAAATTAGGAATGTGCCACGTGACTGTGAGCTCTTGGGAACCTTGGTGTTCGGACCTTCTAACGGCACCGCTCGCTCGTGGGGGCCTTGGCGTGAAAAACATGTTCACGTGACCGATCGCTCTTGGGAGCCTTGGTGTTCAGACCTTTTTACGTCACCGCTCGCTCTTGGGGGTCTTGGTGCTCAGAGCTTGTAACGTCACCGCTCGCTCTGGGGAGCCTTGGTGTGAAGAGCTTGTCACGCGAGTATGGGCTGTTGGGAGCATTGGTGCTCAGAGCTTTGTACGTCACCGCTCGCTCTGGGGAGCCCTGGTGCTAAAAGTTGTTTACGTCCCCGCTCGCTCTGGGGAGCCCTCGTGTTACGAGCTTGGCGTCTCTGTGACTTCTTCTTGCGGATCCTGTTGTGGCCCTGCAAGGCCCCCTTGGGGCCCTCTTGGGCAGACCTGGGGCCCTTTTGACCCGTCTTTGGGCGTCTTGGAAACCTTCGGCTGTTTTGGAGCTTTCCTGGGGCCTTTGGGGGCCCTCTTGGGAGCCTCATGGAGCCCACTTGGGACTCTCTTGGGAGCCTCTTGGCGCCCTCTTGGGCAGTCTTGGGGCCCTCTTGGGCCGTCTTGGGGCCCTCTTCGGGCGCCTTGGGGCCCTCTTGGCGGCCTCATGGGCCATCTCGGGAATATCGCGGGGGGCCTTTCGGGCAGTCTTGGGGCATCTTGGAGGCCTGCGGCCTCATGGGGCCCACTTGCTTGGGAGCCTCTAGGCGCCCTCGTGGGCCGTCTTGGGGCCCTCTTGGGCCGTCTTGGGGCCCTCTCGGGGCGCCTTGGAACCCTCTTGGGACCACTGGGGCCATCTTGGGACGATCCTTGGGGCCTCTTGGGCCGTCCTGGGCCGCTCTTGGCCCGAAAAGGCGAGAATCGAACAAACATAGGAAAACCTAAGAAACATGCATGTTTTTGGCCTCCTCAGGTCCTCTTGGGGGTCCTCTTTGGGGCCTCTTGGACCTTCTTGGGGCCCTCTTGGGCCGTCTTGGGGCCATCTCAAGCCATCTTGGAACGCTCGTGGGCGCTCCTAGGTTTCCTTTGGGCGCGATGGGTCGTCGTGGAGCCCTCTTGGACCCCTCTCGGGCCGTCATGGGGGCCTCTTGAGCGTATATTGGGCCGTATGGGGCTCCACTTGGGCCGTTTTGGGCCCCCGGTGGGCCATCAGACTTTGCACCCGGCCATCCCCCCCCCCCTGGACCCCCCCTCTTTGGGCTGACGCCCCACCAAGAAGCGAACCGCGTGAACGCTGTCATACATGCAAACACAGACAGCCAGGAGAGCCCAGAATCGAATCGATAAATCGGATCGGCAATCGACATGAATCGGATCGGCGGAGATCGGCAGCCGAATCGGGAAAAGTCGAATCGGCGGAAATCGGCAGGCTAATATGCCTCCAATAAAAAATCGGAATCCAAATCGGAAGCCCAAATCGAATCGAATCGGAATCGGAATCCATCGAAGTCGAATCGAATCGAATCGGGGGAATCGAAACGAGCCCTGGACAGCATGCGGGGTCAAGCATCATACATGCGAGAGCGGCCGAAGATCCCTTGAGCCACGTCTCCCGACACCGCGCGAATCACAGCAAGAGCAACACGGAAAAACGCCGCGGCTCTGTAGCCGCCGCAGCCGAACTGCCGCAGTCCCCGCAGCTCCAGCAGCCGGCTGGGGATCAGAATGCCGAGGGGGGCCACGATACATACTTCGCCTCTGGGAGCGCTGTTCCCCTCTCTGAAGGAGGAGGGGGGGCGGGCGGGATCCTCCCCTTGCACATCCGGGGCTGACACTAGGGCTGCTCATTCTCAACGGCGTGCTGGTGCTCACGAGCGCGTTCGTGCTCACAAGTTTGCTCCTATTCGAGGGCGCGTCCGTGCTCCAAGACGTGCCCATGCTCAAAGGCGCGCTCGGGTGCCAGGGCATGAACGAACTCCACAGCATGCTGGCTTTCACGGGCGTGCTTCGGAGCACGGGCATGCTCAAGCTCAAGGGTGCGCTGGTGCTTCCGGTGCTTCCGTCGTCACGCTCTTGCTCACGGGCACAGCAGGGCTCAGTGGCGCGCTGATTCTCAACAGCCTCTTGATGCTCACGGACGCGCTCGAGCTCAAGGGTGTCCTCAGGGCTCGGGCTCGAAGACGTGACGGTGCTCCCAAGCGTGCTTCGGTTCACCGACACGCTCGGGCTCGAGGGTGTGCTCGGCCCCAAAGGCGCGCTGGTGCTTCAGGGCGTGGTGGCGCTGGCACACTGCTGCTCGTGGGCGCGCTCGTGCCCGAGGGCGTGGTGCTCGTGCTCCACGGCGGGTTCGTGCCCGAGGTCGCGCTCGCGCTCCAGGACGTGCTCTCGGGATCCGAGGCGCTCTCGAGGGCGTGCTGGTGCTTCAGGGTGTGCTCGCGATCGCGAGCGCGTTCCTGCTCACGGGCGCGGTCGTGCTCAAGGGCGTGCTCGTGCTCGAGCGCGTGTGCTTTGATTCCAAGTCGAGGGTGCTCCTTTCGACGCTGCGCCATTCCCCAGCATGTGTAGAGGGTATCTTGTTCGGCATGGTCATCCTGTTGTGAACGGTCAGAGCCCACCTTAGCACTCGCAGCTGCCGTGCTTCACTGGCTCAACGTGCAGACACGCTGCAGTTGTTTCGCTGATGCGGCACACGCACGCGCGCGAACACGCACACGCACGCCCACAGCCACGACCACACGCAACACACAAGCAGAAGCACTGGCACAAACACAAATGCACAAACACACACAAGCGCATGTACACAAAACGCACGACACTCGCACACACGCACATATACACACATACGCACACACGCACGCACGCACGCACACACACACACACACACACACACACACATACACACACACACACACACGCGCGCACGCACACACACACACACACACACACACACACACACACACACACACACACACACGCACACACGCGTTTTACTCCGCCGGCCGAGTGAATCACCACGACGAGGGCTGCAACGGGGCGCAGGCCGCCCGGAACTCCCCCAGGAACAGCAGGTGGGGAGCCGCGCGCAGGGCAACTGCGTGCAAGCAGGTGGCGCCAACTTACAAAACACACGCACAAACGCACACACACACACACACACACAACACACACACACATACAACACACAACACAGAACACACATACACAACACACACATACTGTTTACGTCGGCGGCTAGACAGAGGGACTGCGCTGGCGGAAAGGGCGCTGATAGGATAAACGAACGCGAATTAGGCCGCTGTGCACGAGGGGGGGAGGAGGACGCCTGGCGGTGGCTGGAGGGAGGCAGCACACACACACACACACACACACACACACACACACACACACACAACACACACACACACACAAACACAGCACACGCACACACTCACACGTACACACAATTATCTCGGCTGGTGATGTGGCGACACAGTCGCTATGACGCGATAATACTGCTCAAGACGGACTACGAAAACATGCTTGTCGCGGACTCGGTGAACGCAAGGAGGGAGGGCGGCCTCGGAAAGAGAAAGAACTGCAGCGGCCGCACTCGGGACAGGATGAACTGGGCTGGGTGCGTCTGCTGCAGCAGGCTTCAGGTGGAGTCTTGCGAAGGAGGCAGCCGAGGCTGCACAGACACAAACACATATACACACGTGTTGGCGTCGCGGCCACCCACGCGGCGGAGCGGCGGAGAACAGGTCAAGCCAGCGCGCGCACCAGCCTTGCTCACGCGGCGAGGAGAAGATGGATCCACCCATGCGGGATCGATAACTCCATGTCGAACACGTTGAATCCGTGTCGAATCCGTCTCGAAATCACGTCGCATCAGCGTCGAGCCTGCGACGGTGACGAAGAGAAGGCCGCAATTTACAGGACAGGAAGGGACCCCAAAAAACGCACTAGAGCATCGGGAGGCAAATCCTGGGAAACCTTCGTAAGAACGACTCAGGGCTATTAGGCCTGGTTACGGGGCCACTGAGAAAAATTAGCCCACATGAGACCCGTGAATGGGCCAGATCAAGCAGGAGTCGGGATCCTGCTGGATTCGGCCGACTTTCGACCACGCATATACAGTGGAGGCCAGTCCACAAGAGACCCTCAACCCAACCCTGAGACCCCAAAACGTCCATTGATTTGTGGTGTGGGATCGTCACGCTTTCCACGGCACAACCATCAAAACCCAAGAAACCCAGGGCACCCTGAACAAAAACTTGGCATGTGCCTCCACTGTACCAGCACAGGTATACGGAATTTTAACCTCCCAGGGGTTGTCTCCTAACACGCACGTGCGCTTCTCCACAGAAGCAGCTAGCCGCACGAGCATGCGCGCTCGAAGGCCCGCGCGGACTTCTCGGACCCCCGCGAGAGCACCGTCGAGGGGGGCCCGGCGCAGATCCACGGCTCCTGCTCGAGCCGTCGCGCCCTCCCCGAGTTCTGACCCCCACTCCTCGTGATCTTGCGGTTCGTCTTCCGCAGCTCCCTGCGGAGGGGCAGCGATCCGGGGGAGACTGGCTCCGGGGGGGGGGCAGAGCGTGGACCTGGAAGCGACGACAGGTCGCCGACGGGTCGGCGACAAGCACCCGCTGGCAAGACCGCGCGCTCCTGGGCAGGGGGTCCCCGGCGGTGCTCGGCGATACGCCCCTTTCGGCGATGGGCGTCGCCCATCGTCGAAAGCCCAATGGGCGACGGGCGCCGCCAGTCGACGATGGGCGTCGCTTATCGCTGCCAGCGGCCCATCGCCCAATCGGCGATGGGCCCCTAAGATCGGCGCCGTCAGCGTGGAGAACATTGGGCTCCACTTCGAGCCGCGTCGCCGATGCGGCGCGATCCTCCGACACCATCTACGTACACAGACCCCCGACGACGCGGTGTTTTCACAGTCGAAGCGTGGACCCCAGAAATCTCGACCGATTCCTCAAGGCCAGCTTCGCATCCCGCATCAGTGTTGTTGATGGTCACGGGGCCCCGCGAGGGCCCCAGGAGGCCGAAAATAGCCCAAAACCTTCGGTCGTATTCCTCCTCCTCCTCCTCCTCCTCCTCCTCCTCCTCCTCCTCCTCATCATCATCATCAGCATCAGCATCATCATCATCATCATCATCATCATCATCATCATCATCATCATCATCATCATCATCATCATCATCATCAATCATCATCATCATCATCATCATCAGCATCTCATCATCATCATCATCATCATCATCATCATCATCATCATCATCATCATCATCATCAGCATCATCATCAGCAGCAGCAGCATCATCATCAGCATCATAATCATCATCATCATCATCATCATCAGCAGCAGCAGCATCATCATCATCATCATCATCATCATCATCATCATCATCATCAGCATCATCATCAGCATCATCATCAGCAGCAGCATCATCATCAGCATCATCATCATCATCAGCATCATCATCATCATCATCATCATCATCATCATCACCATCATCATCATCATCATCATCATCATCATCAGCAGCAGCATCATCATCATCATCATCATCAGCAGCAGCAGCATCATCATCAGCATCATCATCATCATCATCATCATCATCAACAACAACATCTTCTCCTCATTCTCCTCATCCTTCCTCCTCCTCCTCCTCCTGCTCCTCCTCCTCCTCCTGTTTCTGGCGACGGGATAGGGTCTGGACTCGGACCCGTTTTGGGAGGCCTGGACTGTGGGAAACCAGAGGAACCGATACCGCTGCTGCCCACGCCAACCCCAGGGTGCGTTCTAACCAGGATCCTTCCCGCCTGTTGGGCAACGGTGGTCTGGCGAGTTCTCTAGTTCCTCTTCCAGAACCCTCGTGCCTTCTGGGAGGGGTACCCTCCCCCTCCACTCCCTGAGGTTGTCTGGGAGGTTTCTGGGCGTGTCATGGGGTCCTTTTGCGCCCAAGATGGCTCCAAGAGGGCACCCGAGACTCCAAGATGATCTGCAAGATGGCCCAAGATAGCCGACAATGGTTCAAGAGGCCCCCCCAGACGGCCCCAAGAGCGCCCAAGAGCGCCCCAAGAGGCGACTGTGATGGCCCCAGGGGGGTAGGCAAATCGAGGACACCACCTCCTTTGATCAATAGTGCCCAGAATGGCCTCAAGAGGCCGTCCAGGGCTCCGGAGAGGACCCCAAGAACGCCCAAAGAGCGACCCACGAGGGCCCCAAGAGGCTGTTTGCCTCCTCCTCCTCCCCCTCGCCCCCCCGCGGGCCCCAGGGATGGCCCGAAGAGGCCCTCCCTGGAAGGCCCTCCTTGCTCCCAGAGAACGCTCTTTTTCATCATGGTTGCCCGAGTTGTTTCCTCATATGTGTCGCTTCGTCCCTTTTTCCAGTCAGCTCTCACGGGCAACGTTTCTCAATGGCGTGAAGAATTGCGAGGCGAACCCAGCGGTGGCGACGAGGGCCTACCCAGCGGTGGCGACGAAGGCGGAAGAGAGGGAAGGGTGGCGATATCGGTACCCTTTCCGCCGCTGAGATCGACATTGCCCCCCGACCTCTGCAGGCCCTCCAGCTCACGCTTGTGCGCGGCCTGGAGCTGCACGAGAAGATCCGAGAACGTGGGGTTCGCCGCGTGGGCGCGGCCCTGCCCGGCCGTGGGGCTGCCTGGGGCCGACTCCTGAGCGGGAGGGCGCTGCTGGCTCACAGGGAAGCGAGCGTGCCACACGAGCAAGCCTGTATCGGCGAGCAGCCACTGAGCACTCCGTCTGCCATGCAGAGAACGCGGAACATGAATTCACCACATCATGTAATATGGGGGTTATGCGGGGAATGCGGAATCGGTTGCAACACCATGTATGTATAAACCATACATGGGCTTGCAACGAGGTTCCACAAGCATGGTGCAGCGCCACTGGTTGTCGTACGTTTTCGGAGAAATCGATAAACCCAACATGCGCGCGCGACCAGGCAAGCATGTGGGCGTTGTCTCAGTTGCTGGAAGGACCCCTAAGAGTTGATGAGTTTTGATACAAGAACACACTTGCATACGACCTACCATTTGACAAGCATGACGGGGCAGCGAAGGGGGGGCGGGGGCGATACTGGTGTCTTGGGGATGTTCAGAACTCATGTGTAAGACGAACGACGGGCCAGCATGACGTGTGAATTGTACGATTCCAAGGGGGAGCGAAATTCGCAGGGGGGACGACCTTATCTTTTCAGAAACGAGGATACGCGTGGTGCATTGAAGATGATGCAATATATGTGGTGTTGTGTTGTCCAAACAGTGTGGTGCAATATATGTGGTCAGTCTATGGTGGACAATCCTTGTCCGCTAAGGGTTGTCAACCCCACTACCCGCGCAATCATTCCACCCACCCACCCGCAGCTTGGTTGGCAAAACCCATCAAGTTGCGATTGCGGTGATTGTTTGGCGTTGGCTTGCGCATCGCTGCGGCCGCGCTGGCGCGCGCAGGCTCGCGCGCAGAGCGGCAAGCTAGTCTGGGGCGACCGACGCGGACGCCGTGGCGCTGACCACTGGGGACTTCCCAGCGCGTCTCGCAGGCCGCGTTGACCCGCGGGCACTTCAGTGCGAGTCGGTGACTCGGGCGGGCGCGGCATCATAGCGACCTCCAAAGGTTATGATCATGCCGCTCTGTCTTCTTCGAGGTTCAGGGTCGATGTCCCTCCCCACCCCGAGCCAGACCATGGCACCCTTGGTCGAGGAAGGACATCGAGGAGAATCGATGAGGGCCGAGGTAGGACGAGGGCCGAGGGGGGTCTCCTGGAAGATCTGGGAGGAGGCACCAGCAGGAAGCCCGAGGAGCAATCAAGCCCGAGGAGGAGGAGAACCGAGGAGGAGTCTCGTCGAGAAGGAGGGACAAGAGGAGGCTTGACGAGGAGGCTCGAGAAGAGGTCCTCCAGGCAAGGGGCGATCGGCAACTTCTGCTTCACGTGGCTGGGCGTCTGCTCCGCAGCCCGCTCCTGGAGAAGCCGACACCTGTCTTACCTGCAACAAATTCATGCATGATACCGGAGAAATGCCCCAATCAGGGCTATAGGGCTAGGGGGCTATAGGGCTATAGGGCTATAGAGCTATAGGGCTACAGAGTTGTAGAGCTATAGGGCTATAAGGCTATTGGGCTATAGGGCACCCCCGGGCACCCCCGGGCACCTGGGCACCCGGGCGTGCGGCGAAAATCGGCGGCAAACCAAACCTAACCATATGAATCCGCTAGGACCCCTACCGAGGCAAGCTCTGATCGGGAAACATACACAAACACCTAAGCATGCATCAGCATAGACCCATCGCGTCAATATACAAATGCATTGACGTATGTATATAAACATTGAACAACATGCATACACATGAAGAGTCTTTGGGCCGGCGCTGGAACCACCCTCCCTGGCGCGCTCCGCGCGCCTGAGGCGCCGCCAGGGGGGCCCAGCGCAGACCCAAGAAATCCGCACGGAGCTCCGAAGAGCGTGGGTTAAGAACATGAGCCCTTCGCCGAAGGCACACGGCCACATTCAGGCACCCACACGAAAGGACATCCCAAGGCGAAGGATCCACACGCGAAGAACAGAAGGGTACACCTCCAAAGCTAGGGTTGTTCTTTTAACCCTGGTGCCAGCTGTACTGAAGGAAGTCCTGCACACCTCGCGCGGCAACTTGAAATCCAAGTGACGTCGGTTCCATGTCGGATCCACATCGGATTCACGTCGGATTACGTCGGATTTACCTGGGGTTCACGTCGGATTCACGTCGGAGCATCACCGTGCGAACGTCGACTCATCTTACGGAGCGGACGTGTGGACAAAATGATACAGCTATTGCGCGAGGCCTCCAGGATCCTCGTCATAGGAAAAGTGTATGTCTATGCCGATTGTTCCTCCTCGAGCTCCGCAGGGGTGGGCTCCGCTTCCATGGCCGCCTCTGCCTGTGTTCGGGCACGCGCTAGCCCCAGGTCAGCACAAACCCAGGTCGGCCAGGATCCTGCCGCGAAACCCAGTTGGGCGCTAAGTAGCTGCCCAAACCCGGGTCAGCGGAAGGCGGAAGGCGGAAGGGGGCGGAGGAGGAGGGGGGGAGGAGGAGGAGGAACAAGGACGTGGACCAGTGCACACTCAAGGCGCATCAACGATGTTGCAATAAACCCTCCCTCCGAATTCCCTGTTCAGAGGTCCCTACAATAATATTTGTTCATTACGAGTGTCCCATTGGAAGACTTTCACCTGAGAGTCCACAACCGTGCGAAAACACTGCGAATCGACATGACTGCTTCGTCCTGGCAATCCTAAATCGTGCTAGAACACCGAGAAGCAACGTAACAGCTGCGTCCAAACTCTCCTAAATCGTGCCAAAACGCCATTTATAAGACTTCAACACCGTGGAGCCGTGAAGTAACGTAGCTGTTGTGTCCAGGCACTCCCAAAACGTGCCAGAACGCCATTTCTGGGACTTCAACCATTCGCATCCTTGAACAAGTGGGAAGAAATTGGAAAGGAATGTACGCGAGGCTAGGGCGAGAGCCACATGTTGAAAATAAATCGCCCTTCATCTTTGAAACTGCTGCAAGCTGTAAAGAGACGGCGCGCCAAACTAAAAAAAGAAACACATGTCGAAACCCACCCGCCCTCAATCCGTGAAACCGTTGCAAAGATCAAGCTCAAGGTCTCAAGCGAAACGCCCAAACCGCCCGCCGACACTTCGTGGGCTGCGACAGGGGGGAGTTATTGACAAGGAGAGAGGTGGAGGAGGAAAACGCGTAATTCGGAGAAGGGGGGGAGAAGGCGGAGGAGGAAAAGGGGGAGGGTGTGAGGCGAGGAGGAGGAGGAAGAGGATGAAGAAGAGACCCCACGTGGCCACCCAAACCCGGGCCGACCGGAGAGGGTTGGCGGACCCCGCCACGTGAGCCCCGCTGCGTGCCGGTGAGCCCGGGCGCGGCCGCCGCGGCGAGACTGCGGGGTGCTACGAGGGCGCGGCGGGCGTGGCGAGCGCGGCCGGGGCCGCGGCGCGGGGCCGCGCCGCCCTGAGCCGCGAGGGCTCACTGCCGGCAGCGGGCGGAGGGGGGGGATTCGGTCGGGCATGGCCTCCTACAGGCGGGTGCTGGAAGAAAAATGAAAAGCAGTTCCCCCCCCCAAAAAAGCAAAAAACAACAGGGCAATCAGGGTACGAAAGTCATGACTAAAGGGGAGGAGGAGGGGGAGGATGAGGAGGGGAGGGAGGAGAAAGAGGGGAAGGAGGAAGGAGGAGGAGGAGGAGGAGGAGGAGGAGGAGGAGGAGGAGGAGGGGAGCCTTGAGCCGCGAGGGCTCGTGGTCAGCAGCGGGCGGAGGGGGAAGGGGGGGGAGGAGGAGGAGGGGGAGGGAGGAGAAAGGGGAGGAGGAGGAGACGGAGGAGGAGGAGGAGGAGGAGGAGAGGAAAGAGGGAGGAGGGACGAGGGAAGAGGATGGTGACAAGGGGGGGAGGAGGGAAACGAGGAGGATCTTGTCCAGAATCTTGCTTAGCCGAAAACGCACACCACAGGTCAGAGTAGTGGGAACTGGCTGACTCCTGGCAGACTGTTCTACATAGGAACCCTTGATTTGGGATGACCGGATGGCGCCCCTACCACAAACGCCTAAGCCGACCCTTGGACGTCCGATTATTGACCCCATTGCACGGGCTCTTTTTCATACTGGTGCACTTATTCTGGGCGTAGGGTGCGCACCGACGAGACAAAACGGTGTCCCGGCATTCGAGGACGAGGAAAATGACGAGGGCGGGGATGGGGGGAAAAGGTCTCGCATGGGTCCGCGTACACCCCATTTTGCTCGGCCTCCCAGGAGCACACGCAGGTGGTGACGGTTGCACAATTTGCAACCCCACGGGAGCCTTGAGGTTTCCCTTGGGTCCACATACACCCCCAACCCACAGGTCGACAGGCGAAAGATTTGTTCTGATCCAAATTTCGGCGGACGAGCGAAAAACTTCCGCCCCCCCCGAGGAAATTCGGGAAGGGCCAGAAAATGCTGTTCGGGCGGACGAGGAAGTCTTTCCAGCGAGCGAGGAATTTACTGGTCGCTCCGAAGGGAATACTCCCAATGTCTCGAAATGCTGGAAAGCTCAGATGAAGACCTGATCCCGTTGCTGCCACCGAAAACCCGACGCCCAGCAGGGACAACCGGCCCTGTGAAGAAAATCGTTTCTCCGACCCCCCTCCCCCCTGAAGCCTCTGTTTCGATACACAACGGAACTATGCATAAATCGAGGAAGTGGTTCGCCCAGAGCTTGCCCCGTGAACTCTAATGAACAACCTCAACACAAAACGCCTGCGCGAATTTCGCAAACTATATTCCCGGCGAGAAAAAGTCGGTCACCTCAAATGCTCAACTTCAGGACGGGAGCCGTTGATATCCGCAGCGGGATTATGAAGCATCCAGGTAGTTCGCGAAGGACACGTGAACATGATAATGAAACATCAAAACGGCAACGCGAGGACGATGACAACGACCCAAACGATAGCCACGACCACAACCCAGCAAAGCTCAGCTACACCTGCCAAATTCGCGCACTTCATACGCAAACAGGCAAGCACGCCCGCTCGCCCGCCCGCCCGCGCACCCGCCCGCCTGCTCGCATGCCCGCGCGCCCGCGTATGTTCGTCACGTGGGCACGCAAAGATGCGAAAACAAATCGAATTTGATGTACGCGTGAAGGGGGCGATCAAGAAATACAACTCGACTCGACTCGCCGTGTGGCAACGCGAAGAGCGAAAACAAATTGCTCGACCCGTCAAGTGCCATCGCACGGCTGGGCGCAACCAGTAAGATCCGTCTGTGTCCCGCCAAGGCGACAAGGAGGAAATCATTTGGCGACGACGAAAACAAAACAAAGACGACGACGTCGAAAACAAAAACTAAGACGACGACGTCGACGACGACGCCGACGAAAACGACGACCACCATCACCACCACCACACCCGCACTCTAACTCGCGAGCCCGCTTGCCCGTCGGTTAACCCGGACCCCCGCGCGATCGATCGTTCGTCCGCTCACACGCCCCTGAGCTCATCCGCTCAATCGCCCGCCCGGGTGGACGACTGCCCATTCGTCCGCCCGCCCGCTCTGTGGTGCAAAACATACAGTGTAGACTAACTGGCGCAGTACATGTAAAACAATATATGTGATGCAACCTGTGTGGCGTAGTGAAAGATATGTGGTGAAATCTACATGGTGCCGCATATGTGGTGCAAACTGTGTGGTTCAACCGGTGTGATGCGTAAGTTGTGCGTTACATGGTGTAAGCGATGTGGTGAAACATGGTGCAGCCCACGTAATGCAGCATTATATATGTGTGTATATACATACATACATACATACATACATACATACATACATACATAGGTAGATAGATAGATAGATAGATACATACATACATACATACATACATACATATGTATATACTAGAACCATCGCACGCGCTTCGCGCGCGCTCAGGTTCTAGTTGTGATCACCGCTGAGTTGGGATGCCCGCGACGATTCTTACCACGAAGAGGCGGCGTGCACTCCGCTCACGTTCGCACGCCATGTTCCGGAGGAGCGTTCCCGGAGCATGGGGTGGTGGGGCGCCAAAGGCTCCCCCGCTCTTCCCCCCTTCCCGGACTATCCTGCCGAGGAACTCTTGGGTTGCGTAGGGCCGGTCTTGCGGGCTCCTTGGGGCTCTCTGGGCCCGCCTAGGGCTGTTTGGGAGCGGACCTGGAGGCGCGCTGGGCCCTAGTGGAGCGTCGGAAAGCCGAAAAGACAAGAAGGCCAAGATCATCCAATTCCTACGTAAAATGAACGATGTTGGCCTGTTGGGACCCTCTTGGGGGTGCTCCTGGAGGCGTCTTGAGCCATGTTTGAAGCCTCTTGGGAACTACCTGGGGCCTCCTGGGGCTCTCTTGAGGCGGAAGCCCTGGGTTTTCCAGACGCGGTCCGTCTCTTGGACACCTCTCGAGCCTGTTTTGGGGCACTCTTGGGCTGCCCTGGGCACTTCTTGGGCCAGCCTTGGGCTTTCCAGGACCGCCTCGGGGCGGCCTTGGGCGCTTCTGGAGCTGTTTGGGGGCGGTCTCGGAGGCCTCCTGGGCTGCCTAAGAGAGTCGGACAGCCGCAAAGATCGGAAGGCCAAAACCCTTCCAAAACTATCGTAAAACCATCAATGTTTGGCCTGCTGGGGCCCTCGTGGGAGTGCTCTTGGAAGCGTTCGGAGCCATGTTGGGGGACTCTTGGGAGCTGCCTGGGGCCTCCGGGGTCACTGTTGAGGCGGGGGACCTGGGTGTTCGGTACGCGGTCCCTCTCTTTGGCCCTTTTTGGGCTTGTTTTGGAGCCTTCGTGGGCTGTCGTGGGCGCTTCTTGGGCCAGCCTTGGGCTCTCACGGGCCGCCTTGGGCTTGTTTGGGGGGCCTCTGGGGCTGCTTGGGGGCGGACCTGGAGACCTCCTGGGCCGTCGTGGAGCGTCGTACAACCGAAAAAAACAAAAAGGCCAAAATCGTTCCGAAACCCTCGGAAAAAACGCATCAATTTGGCCTCCCGGGGCTCTCTTGGGAGTGTGACTGGAAGCGTCCGGAGCCATGTTGGAGGCCTCCCGAAACCTCTACCACGTGCTTCGGCGACATGGATCGAAGATGGGAACCATTCCTGGTGCTGAAACAGAACTAGGGTCCGTCCAGAGCCGCTCGGGAGACGCCCCAGAGCGGCTCTGGAGAGGCCCGGGGGGGGGGTCCCACCATGGCGAATCGAGGCACCTGACCAGAGGCCCCCGGGCCCGTACCCCGACAAACATAGATATATATATATATATATATATATATTATAGACATACATACATACGCACACACTCATAAATACATACATACATACATACATACATACATACATGCATACATACATACATGCATGCATGCATGCATACATGCATGCATGCATGCATGCATGCATGCATGCATACATACATACATACATACATTCATGCATGCATGCATATACATACATACATACATGCACACATACACACATGCACACATACATACATGCATGCATGCATGCATGCATGCATGCACACATACCTACATACATATGTATGTGTGATGCAGCGCATGTGGTGTGTGCGATGCTGCGTTGCACTTACGTGGCGCATTATATATATATATATGGAGAGAGAGAGATACACAACGATATGTATATAGCGCATATACATGTGTTGCAATCGGTTACAATCGATTGCGATGCACAAGAAAACGGGGGGTACAACGGGCTGGCGGGGACGGGCGGCAACGCCGACAACAACCGCGGCGACCGACACCCAGGCCCAGAAGCAGCGGCGATGGGCGGCGGCGGCAACAAGCGCGGAAACCGACACCCGGGCGGCAACGAGGGCAAACACCGCGGCGACCGACACCCAAGCCCAGAAGCAGCGGCGACGGACGGCGGCGACGGGCGGCGACGGCGAGAACATAGCCGCCACACCAACACCCAAGACAACACGACGGGCCGCGACGGGGCGGCGTCGGGGCGGCGATGGCGAAAACATACAGACCAAACCAACAAAAACAAAAAAACAAAAGTGAACAAGCGCCCACACATGTGTATATATATTGCCCACCAGAAAGTAACGCGCGCTGCTCAAGCACTCCCGCAAACCAGATATGTTCGTGCCTGCGATACTCGGGCATGCGCTTGTACTCCGCATTCGAATGGTTCGCACTCTCCCTGACGATGCCCGCCTGCGACGTCGGCCCTCAGGAAGGAGCATACGCGCGCGAGGCGCTGTGATGACCCACGCTCATGGCAGGCCATCACGTTGCCGTCGCTTCCAACTGGGTTCCCTTGTCGTCGTTTTCCTGCTCCAATGGACCATCGGCGACCGTCAGTTCCTTCTCCTCGGCTTCTGCCACGGCCTCCGAAGGAAATATCCTCGCGGGCGGAGTCGTCGAGCGCCGCTGCCTGCGAGACGTCGGCGACCTTATTTCCCTTCGCGGCTCCTGCTTTCCAGGGGGCGCCTCGTGAACCCACGCGCTCGCCGCGCGGGCTCGC